TGGGAGGAATCTTGGTGCCATCTGTCGGGCGATCGATCACAGATGGGGGGGGGCGCTTTCTCCCTCCCCCAGTCGGGGCCAGAATCCTCGTGAGGGGTGTCGTTTTTTAGCCCTCCGAGGAGTCGAAAAAAGACCTCTCCAGCGACCCGCGGAGAGACCTCTCCAGGCCCAGGGGGAGGGGGCAGGGGGAGGGGTAAACCCCTCCCCGAAGGGGAAGAAGGGGGGTTGAGAACAGAGTGGGCTCTCTAAACCACTCACGCCCAAAGGGCTGGTGGGATTTGCACGCCAAGCACGGGATGCGCACAAGACATCGACGGGGGAGCAATGCGACATTGGGGGGGATTGATGATGATGCGGGGGTGCGATGAGATGATGACCATGCTGATGAGGAGGAGGTGACCGAGGATTCGTAGTGATACGTGGTTGACGGTGTCGGGATGCACAACGATGGTGAGGTCACCCCCATACGCCTATCGCGTCCGTACTCCTCATCCCAAAAACCCCAATTATATTCAAAAGTTAGCAGCCTGGGCCGCGGCCAACGTAGACTATGTATCGGGCCGTCCTCCGTGACGGCGCGCCAGTGAGACCCCGAGATTTATCGCCAGTTAGCTCCCCACATGTGTCCTCGCGGGGCATGCGTGGCCGTCGCGGGGGCGCGCGCGCTGAGCGATGAGTTTCGGGGTCGCGCTGATACGCCGTCGCCGCGACGATTTGCTCAGGTTTTTTGTGAACGCGCGTATGTGGCCCCGGTGTGTTGGAACCGTATATGCACATGCGTGCATGTCCGCGTCTGCGGTCGTGGTATCAGTCACGTTTGGCCATGGCGATAGAGGTGATCGGATGTGGGAGGGGTGGCGATATGCATTTAACGCGTGGCCCCATATCCAGACGGTCGCACACCGAATGGCGGATATGTGTCTAAGTGGAACCATGTGTGGGCAATGCTGATGGCCGAGATTGAAGCCCAAGGGGCATGACGGATATCGCAGCAGCGGTGCACATGCAGGGGCGACGTATTTCACCGCGCCGCGCATCCTACGACAGCACGGGGCCTCAATCGGGGCCCACAGAGCTTGGGGGTGAGCCACCAACAGGGGCTCAGGGGTGCGACGCAACCATTGCACCAACACACGTATGAGGGACAGGGCGGTGGCGCGGGAAACGGCAGTGACAGCCCACGCACGGGGTGCCACTTTCGCTTGGGTTTTTTTAGGACCGATGCAGTCTCGATGGCCAGTGCGTGACCGTTCGGATATGTCTCGGGGCCCCGACCCATAAGACAACAAACGCACCCCGAGACCCCCTCCGCGTGCTGCCAGCCCTTCAACACTATCATCCTCATCACCAGCATCATCGCGCGTACTCAACATCATGACCATCATCATCACCATCCTCATCATCATCACCATCACCACCAGCACACTCGTCACCATATTCAGCAACATCACCACCCGCATCATCATCATCCGCACCCTCGGCTGTTTCAGTTGTATCGGCCTCGTCCTCGGCACCCCCAAACACATCATCATAATAACCCGCAACATCATCAACCGCATCATCATCACCATCATCAGCATCATCACCAGCATCACCATCATCACAATCGTTGGCGGCAGCATCGATGATGTCAGCATCGGAAGCGACATCATCACCATAACCCGCGTCACCATCACAACCACCATCGCCACCAGCATCATCAGCAGCATCATCAGCCCACCCTCACCACAACCACCCACCTCATCATCCTCGCCATCCACCAGCAGCATCATAATCCGCAGCCTCTTAATCGGAACAATCCATGTCTGGTTGTAACATGATGCACAATACCATGACACGCGTCATCCGCATCGCCAGTCGACCCCCCACAAACCAGCCCACAGTCCACATGCATCATCGGAACTGATATGGCGTACGCTGTACATCACATCATCTCACCGTACATGCGCAAGCATGTAAGACAAAACATGTCCTGAAAGTTGAAGCCCTGGCGGTCGCCCAGCATGGCGGCGGTCAGAGATGACAGTCGCCGTTCTCGGGGCACGTGATGTGACTGCCACTCGCCCAGGTCGGCCTTCAGCCTCAGCACCCCCGCGTCCACGACCGCGCTCAGGCCCCCGCCCAACCGCCACGGGTTGTGCAGGGCCACGCGCCAAAGAACAGCGCTGATAAATCTCAGAACCGGGCCGAGAAACAACGCGCGAGGGGAATCTGCGGCCGGCGACCACGCAGGCGACGTCTGCAAATCTGGCGAAAACAAAGGACATCGGTGGTTGATCGGGCCCAGCACTTTGCCGCCATTTCCCAGTCGAGACCGCCAGAAGCGAAGTGCGACTGGCACAGGTGTGTGCTCCAAGGAATGAACGTCACGCAGGCCGTCGCTCGGCCCCAGGCGGTCGCCTGGCACCAACGCAACACCAGCGATCGCGAGGTTTTCGCATACATGGCGGCCACCGATGCCCTTGTCCCTGTTCACGTACTTCAGCGATCGCACAAGACGCGCCCTATCAGCAATCGTGGCGATGGTGAGATCAACCTCGCACGCTCTGCATGCGAGTTCGTACTCCTCGTGCGTTATCATAATCCACGGCGGTCCTGTTGGCGACGCCAGGTAATCGTCGTAACTATCATGCAGGTCTGACATCGAGCACTGGCAAAACTGGCACGGGTTGAACTTGGAGTTCCAAGCGCCTAACCCCAACGTGTGCGAATGCTCGTTCCAACCGCCTTTCATACATAGCAACGTCGCCTTGCATTGAAGAGGCTGTACTGGCCGCGCCCACGCGTCGCCATCTGACCAGTCTGTCCCGTCGTGCTGGCGAGGTGGGCGGACGCCCTGTGCCATCCATGACAGTTGCCACGCCACTGCCGCCATCAACGGATGCAGTGTGCACCAGCCCCTGCAGCCGCGCTGGCAGTGGTCGCCGCTCTTGATGGCGCCCAGGAAGTGGCGTTTGTTGCTCAACATGTTGATGCACCATATGCCGAGGACAGTCTCCGACCGCCCAGCTGCTTGCGATATGAATCGCACTCCATCGATGTAGATGGACAGCAGGAGGCGGTCGTCATGCCCGCCTGCCCGCGAGCGGACCACGAGCGGATGCTGCGTGTAAGCTGGCACATCCATCACCGACGGTTGCCGTTGGGACGGTGGTGTGTCAAGGATCCGCAATATGCCCAAGTCGTGTTTAAGCTCGTCATCCAACGTTTGCCACAAGGCGCGCATGGGCATGTCGCGGACGACCTTCTCATTGAACCGTCTAGGGTTCACCGGGACCGACGCCGTGAACACGGGCCCGTGCCAGGAAGCACCGTGTCAAGGTGCTTCTGAAATCGGCCGCTGTCGGCATCGGGCGACACCGCGTACCGATGGAACGCTGCGCCAGGGACGCATGCACTGTCAGCGTGGTGGCACGCGGTGCACAGATCCTGCGCCGACAACTTGCATTGCGCATACAAGTGCAGCAAGTGGCGGAGCAATGCTGAGTCAGCCTCTCGCGTCGCCTGCGTGGGCCGACCCCAAGCTCGGTTGGGCGACCGACTGCGGTCCGCCATGTGAGCCAGAATGGCTACGGTGATCATTGCATGTGCGGTTGCATTTATGATTGCGCGTGCCACCAGGATGGTTGTTGCATGTATGGTTGCATGCGCATCTTCATTTGTATTTGCACGTGCGTTGAGCATGTGCACCACGTCGCATCATCACCCTCATCATCATCACCCCATCAACATCAACATCATTGTCGCCATCAATATCATCCGCGCTCGCATCGCCTTCATCCTCATCGTCAGCATCGTCAGCAGCAACGTCGCAACACGTCATCACCATCATCATAAACTTCGGTCTCGCACATTGGGGTCGGGTCATGTTGCTGTGGTGCGTTGGGGGCCTCGCTTGCCGCGATCCGAGCTTCCTGGTGTATAGGGTGACCGATCCGTGCGAGGTGCCTCATTATCGAATGTGTCGCCTCGTCCTTCCCATCTCCTTATCATCCTCTTAGTGCTCCTCCTCCGCATTCTTCTCCTCATACTCCTCGTCCTCATCTTAGTCATCCTCCTCGTGCTCCTCCTCCGTTTCCTCCTCCTCCTCGTTGTCCTCCTCTTCCATCTCCTCCTCGTGCCCCTCAATCTGCGCCCTTCAGATCACGAGCGGAGGCACCAAGTGTTATGCGTGGTTGACGTGCCATTTTTCCTCCTCGTCCTCAGTGTCCACATGCGCATATGAGGTCGTCGCTGCTCCAATCGCATCACCCCCGACGCAAGTGCCAACGCGCGAGCATCTACGCCGCGCGCGCCAGCGCGCGCACGGGCACGCGGCATCCACGCCAACCACAACGTAGAGGTACACGCGATGATACGTGCGTCGGGGCGCGATGAGCAACGATGTCACGAGCGGAGAAACCACGCACCAGTCATGACGAGCTCTCGATGTCGATTGTTTGCGTTACTTGATGCATTCGGGAAACCGCCCCGCTCGGACATGCCATTCTGGCGGCATGTCCGGGCGAGGCGGTCCGCCCGCACAGCTTTACTTAGGCTCGATGCTGTGTTGGCTGAGTCTGGGCATGCAATGCGAACGTGGTCCTGCTCATGCTCCTCAGCCTTCCCCATCATCGCCATTGTCATCTACATCGTCGTCATCTCCCTCATCCACCTCCTCATCATCCTCGTAATCCTGGCCCTCATCGTCCACGTCATCATCATGGCCATCATCATCACCAGCAGCATCATTATCCCCACCAGCAACAGCATCACCATCATCATTATCAGTACCATTGTCACTATCAGCATCGTCAGCATCACCCTCATCCTCCTCCTCATCCTCATCATCGCCATCATCGCCGTCATAATCGCCGTCGTCGCCGTCGCCCTCTTCCTCATCTTCACACTCCTCCTCCTCATCTTCATACTCCTCCGCGTGCACCGTCAAGCAGGCGCTCCTGGACGGCCGTGGGGGGAGGAAGATTTGGATGGGCCCCATTTCCACGAGGGAGGAGCGCATGCCGGGCAAGCAGTGGGGCAAGCTCAAGGAGGAGGTGGGGGCGAAGCTTCAGGGTCGTAACGTCGTCTTCTGCGAGCGCACCCGTGCGGTCTGGTTGGATGACGCGAAGGTGGGCAGGCTGATGGCGGGCGAGTTCCTGTGGGAGGTGCCGGCGGCGTCGCCGGTCAAGGAGCTCCTGGGCGACACGGTTGCCCGGGCGCTTCAGCAGCGAGGCCTTTCCCACGCGCTTGCCCTGGCCTGCGCTTTAAACATCGAGGGCAAGGGGGGCACGGATGCAGACATTAATTCAATTTTGGGGCTCCTGGAGCTGAAATCCTGGGGGCTCATCGCCCTTCTGGAGGTCGACCACCGCCGGCGTTGCGATCCCAGCGACGGCACCCTCCGGGAGTTTGAAGGTGGTCACGCGCGCGTGCGCTACTACCCAGGCGAGGGTTCGTGGGCTTTTGCTCTTTTAATTCACAAGCATGCAAGGGCACGATTGAAGGACGTGGAGTGCGGGGATCGGTCTATTCGCGTGGACCTTTTTCACACTTCGCCTGATAGTAAACAAGTTTCTCTGAAGTCTGTTATTTTCAGCCATTTGGCGCGCGGCGCCGCTTTTGAAGACAGCTTGGCCGATGCTCAGGGCCTCGCGCGCCGGAGGCCGCGCAACTCGTCTTTGTTCTGGCTGGGCGATGTGAATGCGGATTCCAAGAAGCCCTGGCAGGAGACATGGTCCCTGTACACGGGTGCGCTTCGAGGTTTGGGTCTCCAGTGGGCCCCGCCCCGCTATTTCGAGGCGGACCCAGCGTTGCATTGCGCTCGCAGGCCGTCGGGGGCCCAAGTAGGGCAGCCAGCAAACATGGACCATGCAGCAGCACCTACAGGCCTCCACGTGGACGCATTCATTCGGTGGCAGGGAGTGCCGGGAGATCATGCGCTTCTCGCCGTTGATGCTTTGATGGTGGAGCCTCGGAGGAGGTGCCGGAGACCTCCGAGGTGGCGGCCTCAGTGCGTTCTCTCTGTCGCCCGCGTTGCGTCGCAGCTTTACCCTGTATGCTCAGAGCTTGTACGGCACGACGACTTGCAAAAACCATCATCTTGCGAGGTGCGGTACCACGAGCCGCCGGAATTCTCAGAATCGTTCGGATACTGGGAGCAGTCGGTGGCGGATATTGCTTCTGCCACTCATCGGGTGGGTTCCTCTAGTGTCCGCAGAGCCTGCCATGAGCCCCTGTGGGTCAAGGCCATCAGGAGAAGATTGAGAACATGTCTCGACGAAGTCCGCCGCGTCGAGATAGGCAAGGACCTCCTGAGGGCCCTGAAGATCACCCGGAAATCTTCGGAGAAGCAGGCTTTGGCCATCAAGTGTCTCAGAGGGGAGAAAGTTTGGGTGTCTCGCAAGCCTCTCCCAGCAGTCAGGGGTTTCATCCAGGCTGGCGCCGTCGTGTACGATCCCTCCGTTTGCGCTGCCCTGGTCGATGCCGAGTTCCGCAAAAGGTGGGGCGTCCCTCCAGCGGAATGGGACGAGGAGAATGCTGCAGTCCGCCAGCTTGCCACTTCGAGGGTCCCGCGTCTCCGGGTGCAGCCTGGAGTACTTGACATGGCAGTGGATCGCATCAAGAACTCTGATAAAATCGACAAGCACGGAGCCTGCGTGGCCGCACTGCGGATGGCGGGCTGGGTCCGGAGGACCAGGGACGTAGTGGAGGAAGCTTTGAATAGTGACGTGTTCTGGCAGAGCGTCGTCCTGACCGGCACGATCGGAAATAAGGAGAAAGACATCTCGGGGCCGGAGGCCACGAGAGTCGTCATCCCCCAGTCTATGCTTGCGCAGCTGTGTCATGCATACGTTGCGGAGATCCTGGAGCCGTACCTGGAATCGTTCGCGGCCTCGCACTCCTTGTCGGGGCTCGTTTTGGGCCTTGGTAAAGGCGGGCAGGTGCAGGATCTTTTCACCGCGGCGTCGCAGGTTCTGGAGGTCGGAAGAGATAGGTTCAACGAGGCTGCAGTGGCCATTGCGGACGTAAAGACTCACCAGGACCAGATTCGGTACAGTTGCGTCTTCAGGAGTCTGTTCGCTCGAGATGTTCCTCGGGAGCTTGCTGCTGCTGCGATTCGCCTGCACAGAGCCCCGGCCATTCAAATCGACATTATGGGCACGACGACGCAGGAGATTAGGAGGTCGAGGGGGTTGCACATGGGTGCGCTCACTGCGGGTATGCTGGCCCGTCTGACCATCGAGGACGCTTTCGTCGCGTGCATGGACAGGCTGAGCCAGGCCGAGGTGGGTTTCATGTTGGGCAGTCACCAGCTTCTCTTTTCCGCGTGGAGTGACAACCTTTTCAGTTTCGCGCCCACCGTGGGCAAGGCAGCTGAGATCATGACGGCGGTAGAGAAGGCCCTTTGGAGCAAGCACCGCCTGTTCGTGAAGCCAGACAGCCGGGAAATGGTCACAGCGAGCCACGTCACTTTCGAGAGCTACGATTTCCGGGACAGTCGTGGGCGCCGCTGGAAGGTGCAGCCGGCTGTGAACATCTTAGGGCCATTGATCTCGTGCACGGGCTGCTGCGCGGAATACGTAAAGGCCACAACTCAAAAGATTTACGCTTGCTTCTGGAAGAACAGCCGCTTCTTGACCAACAGCGGCATCCCCATCCGTAAAAGGCTACAGAAACTCAGCGGTGTTGCTGGAGGCATCATCAGAGCCAGGGCTGCGTCGTGGCCCCCGTGCCAGGCCACGGAGACTTTTTTGGATAGAAGGCAGTCAAAGCTTTTAGCGTGGATGCTCCGGCTGCGCTGTAAGCCGAACGAGACTCCACAGCAGTTTTGCCTGCGCAGAAACCGCGCGGTCAAACAGCTGGCGGCCACGAAGTGGTCGAAGTTTCATCTGTACTCGTGTTTGTCCTGGCACTCACACCTCCAGAGGCACCCAGACAGCTGGGCAGCCAGAGCGGCCAGTGAGCAGGACCACGACTGGGTCAGCTCACAAAGGCGCGTCTGGGTGTCGGCATCCAGCAGGTCTTCTAAAACTTTTTCCAGAAAAGGCCGGGGCAAGGTCCACCGCTGGGACCAATCGGGCTGGACTTCCCGGTTTAATCCGGCGGGGACGCGGGATCCCAAAACCATCTGGAATTTAGCGGACGAACTTTCGCGCAGTCTTGGCTGCAAAGGCAGACTTGGAGAGGCTTGCCCCTGAGAGCTTGTGACACCGGGGATTTTCCGCCTCCAACGGGCGTGTCATCATCATCATCATCATCATCATCATCCTCCGTCTCCTCTTCATCCTTTTCCTCCTCCCCCCTCTACTCTTCCTCCTCCTCCTCCTCCTCCTCGTCCTCCTCCTCCTCCTCCTCCCCCCCCTCCTCCTCCTCCTCCTCCTCCTCGCGTTCCGCATGCTCCTCCTCCCTCCTCCTCTTCCTCCTCCTCCTCCTCCTCTTCCTCCTCCTCCGCCTCCTCCTCGTCCTCCTCCTCCTCCTCATCCTCCTCCTCATCCTCATTCCCTCTATCTCCCATCTGCGCGGCTACCCGCCCCTCCCTCCCCCCCCTCCATCCCTCCCACCTCTCTCCTCTCTTTCTGTTCCTATTGTGCCCCCTCATTCGCGTGCAATTCCCCTCTCGATCAGTGATTTGCCAGCCTTGGCGGAGGATGTCTGGTCAGAAATTGCCTGCAGCATCGCCGTGCGCGACCGCGAACGTTCGCGCCGCAGCATGAACTGGCCCGCGCCTGGCTGTCGGCCAGGGCCCGCGCTCGCTCGAGCGGCCGCGCCGGCTTCGCAAATTCTGAAACACACGCTGCGGGGCCAGCCCGCGGGGTTGACGCCGGCCCCGCGCCGACAAAAACCAGGCTTGCAAATCCCAGCGACATCCCAGTGAAATCCCAAGGAAATCCCAACGCAGATCCCAACGTGGTTTTACCAAATCACAATGGGTTTTTCCTGATACATCATGGTTTTCTTGAAATCCGCGAAATCCCAGCGCAAATCCCAACGCAAATCCCATCGGTGATTTCGAGCTGGCGCACCGTCTGACACGCGCGGTTCGACCTCGCGAAGCCGAACATCATGTCGGAATCAGCGTCGGCCCCCTGCCCTCACCCGCGCCCCTCCCGATCCGCCCCTCGGTGCCCCCCCCCAGCTATTATCGTATCGATTGTTTGGCCACGAGGTGCCGATTTTCGCCGATTCGAGTGTTTGGATTCTCCCTTGGCGTAACGGCCTGATCCGAGCAGGCGAGCCTCGGTCACTTCTGCCTCTGGCCGTGGCAGCCTTGGAGGGCGTTCAGGACCTCCCTGACAGCGTTCAGCGGCCCGTCGGGCTGGGGCAGGGCGCCCAGGGCCGCGGTGAAGTCCTTCTCCGAGAGCGTGCTCTTCATGGCCGTGAACTCCATGGACATCACCTTCTGAAGGATCGGCACCTCCATCGCATGCTCGGTGAGCTTCTTGAGGCCCGCGTCGAGCTCGGGCATCAAGGGGTCGTTTTTCGCCCAGCTCCATTCGTCCATGTTGGACACGTTCCACACCATGGATTCGCCACGGGCCTTCACCTTCGCGCACATCTCGAAGTTCTCCTTCGCTTTGGCCAGCGCCTGCTTGTCAACCTTCTCGTTGGGGCTCTGCTGCTGCCTCGCTGCCTTCCTGGGCTGCTTGGGCGGCTGCTGGTCATCATGGCACTTGGTGGCGCCCCTGGACCGCTTGGGCGGCTTCGCCACCTCTGCGCGTGCTGGTTCGACCTCGCGCTTCTCGACGAGCTGCTTGGTCGCCGCGTCGGCCGCGGGCGTGTGCTCGACGCCCTTGGCGGGCGCCTCGACAGGCGCACTGGTCTCCGCCTTCGGGGCGGCCTGGCTCGTGACCGTGCCCAGGGCGGCCGAGGTCGGGTTGTCGCCCTCCGAGTACTGGGAACAACTCACCATAGTTAGCATCACCACCATCATCATCAGCATCAGCATCAGCATCATCATCCTCATCATCATCATCCATGTCCCCCCTCATCCTCGTCACCATCCTCCTCATCCTCGTCCACCGCCTCCGCCGCCGCGCCAATTTTCATCCGCTCATTCCTCCGCAGCATCTCATCTTCATCAGCTCAGTCCCCCCCCCCTCAACTTTCCCACCCTCCGCCTCGTCATCCTCTACATATACAGCGCGACGGCCAACAGTTCATGCCCCCAGTCCGTGGGCTTGGCCGTCAGCTGGCTCCACTCCTTGTGCTTGGTCCAGGCCTCCGTGAAGCAGTGGACGTGCCCCTTATATGCCGCCATCGTGATTATCATCATCCTCATCGGTCTCATCATTCGCATCCGCACCCGCCCTCCCCGTCACCGCCATGATATCCCCCCCCCTCATGTTCCGCATCGTCCGCCTATTATTCATCATCAGTGTCCTCATCCAACTACTCATCCGTCTTTTCGCCATCCCCATCGCCATCGCCAGCGTGGTTACGAACGCCACCATCACCCTCACCATCCTCCATCGCCTCGCCATCGTCACCCACATAGTCACATGCACCGCCACCTGCCATATCCGCATCCTCATTGCGATCCTCATCGTCGCCACCCACATCAGCATCACCTGCCTCATAGATCAACTTCATAACATCGTTTACACTAGTCACACAACCAACAATGTCATCGTCACCATCAGTCATCGTCATCAGCACAGCGGCATCGCCACCGTCGTCAGCATCACCATCACACGCAGCCTCACCACCAGTGCCATTATCATCATCACCACAGTCATCATCATTCGGTCATGGGTTCGATATCGCATCAGCGTGTTAAGTGCCCCGCCGTCTTGCAGTGCAGCGCCTGGATCGCCTCCGACGCGTCGTCGAATAGGATCCACGGGGGGCCGATCTGGATGGCCTTGGAGACGACGCGGGCTGCCTGGGAGGACGGATAGTCGCCGCCACCACGCTGCCACCATCTCTCCAGATTGTTCCCAAATCGTCTGAGAGCACACCGCTCATCAGCACCACCCTCATCATCATCATCATCACCATCAGCAGCACCATCATCATCTTGATGCACCCGTCTCCCTCCGCATCCGCATCATCACCATCAACAGCAACATCGTCATACTTCTAGTCCACACCACCCCTCGTCATCATCATCATAATCATCATCATCATCATCATCATCATCATCATCATCATCATCATCATCCCCATCATCTGTCCACTCCTCCATCTCATATACCGTCATACCTTGGCATCCCATCATCATCAATACATTCTCCGCCCCCCCCCCCGCCGTCGCGACATTCAGTATCACCGTTCGCGCCTGTCGCCAGCCCAGGGCCCCTCCGCCGTTGATCCAGGCGATCCGCCCCACGGGGCGGTAGACGCCCTTGACGTAGACCTGGCGCTTGTCCTCCTTCGTGTGGGTCCGCTTGTCCTGGGGCGGCGGTGGCGGCGCATCTCCATCGCTCACCATGCCCATCCCCTGATCAGTCGAGCCCCCTTTGCATCGGTCCCTCGGCCCCCCTCCCCTCTATCTTTCCGCCGGCGCATCGGTCCATCGGTCCTCGGGCCATGGGCCCATCGGCCCTCGTTGTCATGTCTCCCCCCAGGGTTGTGCACGCTGCGTTTCTGTTGGGGCCCAGTGCCCATGAATGTGTCGAACTCGCCTTTGGCCCAGCTCGCCCTGAAATCTTTCTTTTTGGCGGTGCTGCCCTTGCCCTTGCTGGCGTCGTACTCGGCGCGCAACTTCTTCCCCGCGGGCGTGTCCGCTCCTTTAGCACGTTGCCATTTACCTGCTGCCACCACTTCAAACTCGTCGGTACATTGCCTGTGCTCGAGCGGAAACTGGAAACTGTGTTTCTCGAGCGCCTTCCAGAAGTTCAACTGCTCCGCATCATCCTTGCCGCCCTGACTCTGGGCGCCATCACTCGTGTCACTTGCCTTCGCGCTCGGGCCGAACCAGTTGCTCTGGTTCTGCAGGTAGCCGCCGCTGCTGATGTCGCGCATCATCGCGCCCGTCGTCTCGCTGATGTTGTCGCGGCCCTTCTCCGCGAAGACCCCCCTCGGGCTCTTGTTGTTGAACAGCTCGAGCAAGAGGTCGTTGATTGCCAGCTCGTCGATCTTGTCCCCGCTCAGGGCCTTGTTCAACTTGTCCTGGCGGGGCCGAGGGATGGGGCCCTGTCTTCAGCATGCCCGCCCCTCGCCTTGTGCCCCCCTCCCCATCTGGTCCATCCCTGCACCCTCCCGTGAGATCACTCCACATCCCTCCGACCGTCACCGCCAATGACCACCACCACCCGATCGCTCTCCGCTTCCCTCTCCGCTCATCCCGCGCCCCATCGAAGGGGGGGGGGGGGGCGGTGATTTCAACCGCGCGGACAAGGGGGGGGGGGCGGTGGGCGAGGCAGATGAGGCATGGGATGACGACGCCCAGACAGACGCAACATCCCAACGCAAATCCCAACGCATTGTGATTTGCATTGGGATTTGATGCGGCGTCGTCATCCCCCATGCCGCATCATTCTCATCCTCCTCCACTATCATCATTATCATCCTCCGCTTCTTCCTACGCCTCCTCCTCCCCCTCCTCCTCATTCTCCTCCTCCTCCTCCTCCTCCTCCTGCGCCGCCCTCGCACCTTCGCCCTCATCCAGTGTCATCGGATCCGCCGCTGTCCCATTGCGACTCGTCCATCATCCCCCTTATTTCCTCATCTCCCCCCTCTGACGGCACGATGCCACGATGCATCGATGCCGAACGCAACGATGATGATTCGACATCTGTGCGCTCGGCTTCTGTGCAACAGTATCGCACCATCTGGCGTCAACTTGAATCTGGCGAGCTCAGGCGCGGCCTGAACGTCGCGCAGCTGCTTGGGGCCGCTCTTCAGCGGGCGCGGCGTCGACGCGGTACCGACCAGCGCTGCGCGAACTAAATCCACCTTCGGAGGAGGTGCGCCGAGCCTAGATGGCCCCTGCTGCGGGACCGAGCGAGGAAGCGTGCTAGGCGCTGCAGGCGCTGCAGGGTGGGTCCGCATCGCCTTCTCCTCGGGCGCACCTGGCGGCTGCTCACC